ATGACTGTTTTTCGCCGCGCCGACCACAGATAGCAACATTTGGTGCATGTATTTTCTGCTCAGTGTTGCATAAAACGATCACTGCGATCGTTTTTTAAACCAACGATCGCACCGCATTCATTAAATGTTGTTTATCCCATGGTGAAAATATTAACTCCGCAATTTTTTTATTCAAAAGTAACAGCATGATTGTGCCTTTTCCGTAAACGAGTTCCGTATGGCAAGATACACGCACTCAGTATGCACGTGACACATGGCCAGATGTGTCAGAAAAGCAAATGGCCAATCTACATTATGTTCATGTAGACTTTAAAATGACTGTTCAGAAAATCCCTGCACACATTTATGAATGTCATTATCCCATATGCATACTGTACAAACTTTTGTACAAAGAAAATAAGGAAAATATTATGCCAAGATTTTGCATGTTTCGCCTTATTTTCAACACACAAAAAAAATGAAAAATTATTTGAATAGCAATGAAAAATTATGGGGATCATAGAGATAGAAATTAATTCAATATTTAAGGGATTTACAGAATAAAATCAATATTTATTTCTAGTCTTTTTTTCTAATTCAATTGCCCGTCTAAAATTATCACCTCATCCTAGTTGACCAAAATTACAAAGTTGACCAAAATTACAAATTTTCAATATTTTTTATTAAATTTCAGAAATTTCAGACATGAGATCCCTAATTCTAGGCTGTGTATACACAGCTGAAAACACCCAGAAAGTGCTGTTTCCGGCCATCTGGGGGCTTTTAGATTCCAAAAATTTTCTGGTACGCTCCACGCCAACCGATGGTGCCGCTCCGCTTAGATAGTCCTGCCAGCACTAAAACCATCCTGGGCAGAACCCTGATAGGTGGTAGCAGAAAATATAAACAGAAGTTGTTGTTTTCCATGCTACAGCCTTATTCCCTTCACAGAACTGTTTTTGAGAAGTATTAAGATTTTAAGGGTAGGGACACTGTAATAAGGGTCATTCAATTAAAAATATAGGGTGCATTCGAGCGAGCTACTCGTGTCAACACAAGTATACATGTACATGTGCTCTTGGCTGGAGTACAACCTAAGGGTCAGCAAGAGTACACTCTCGCTAATCGTGCTCTTGTTTACAGGAGTAACTGCGCAAACGTACCCATAGTGTGTACACGTAGGGATCTGTTGCCAAAGTTACACACATACATGTAAATGTACCGTTATTTAATTAAACATTTGAATGGAACTAATTGGACCCTAGACCAGTGCAAACCCTGCACTCATGCCCATGCAAACTACTACAACTCATCAAGTACTGGTAACTTCATGTCCACAAAAAATTACAAAGCCACAGGTGTCGGTTAAGTCATTCTGGAGTACATGTATACTGTTTAATTAACATGTCACACTTTTGTGACACTCTTAGCATAAAAATTGCATACTACCTGTACATGCCACACATCTTTTAAACTAAAAGGGACAGAAATCACTGTTCTCGATCAGAACATTAAAAAAAACCAAGTCATGAAATGACTCATACTTTTGCTGTGTCATTTAGTGTACATGTTCATTGTTTATCAAAGTAAATGGTACTCATTTTTGCCAGGCTGTCTTTATTGTTTGATTTCAGGGCTGAAGTGTCAGTTCCAGCTACATGTAAGAACCCATCAGGACCAGTGTGATTTTGGTTGAATATCCACAGTCTTTTTTGACTCTACCAGTCGTCTGGTGTTCCGGATGTGAAAGATTAAGGACTGTTAGGATTCGTGACTAACTGAAAATACTGGGCGTTTTATGAGTGATGGTTAAGTTTACGCATCTGCAAATCTTGAGGAGTTCAGATGTGTGATTTTTATGTGGAAAAATGACCCTGAACATGCTGAAGGTTCACATTCGGACAATTCTTTTGCTTTCATGAACACATCTGAAAGTAATTTCACCAAAGAAAAACTTATTTTTTCAACCAGTGAATATGACTCCATGTCTTTAGTTGCCCCACTTCATGTGATGAAGTTATTCATCACATTTGAGGCATGAGTGTTACATGTGTTTTTTGTGTGTCCTCTGAAAGAGAATTGTCAAACTGAGAATTGTTAACTAATATCATTATTGATACAGTGCCCATTCAGTTTCAATAAAATAAGATTAGCTCTTGGAGTTGCTACTCAAAGGCATTTTCAAAAATACGACAAGTATGTCCAGAATTTTTGTTAAGAAAAGACCATGTACATGTGCATCTGCTGAGTTTGTGTGATTACAGATCAAGATAATTAAACATGATGACAAATTGTCTGATAATCAACAAAAGCCCTTTGACAACAACTGGAAGGATATATCAACTGCTACATTTGAATACAATGGGCACTTTGACCCACATTCAGAGACTGCCAATGCAATACCATCAGAATGTGTCTCAATCTAAATTGTCATTCATCTGCAATTTTAATCCTACCTATTACATATAGGTCATATTCCATGTTTTAAAAGTGTCTGTACCTGTACCCGCTAGCAATGTGTGAACAAAGTTTGCAATATCATCCAAAGAGGACTGTTGAAATTCGTCTGCAAAAGCAAGGTTCAACAATCGATTTTTACAAGTTGAAATTTGAAGCACTTCCTGAACAGTGCACTTTAAATTGCCATAGATTATGATGTCTTGTACCCTAACAGTGCAGTAGGATTACTTGCTGTTACCCACTTACGGTACACGTACTTGTAAATGTAGCATGTGACGTCTTAAAAAAAAAAGAAGTCAACTGACCTGACCCAGAAAAATCATGCAGAATGTACATCTTGGTGTGTTTAAGTGATTGTTTCTTTAATGTAATAAAAAACCAAAAACTTTGGGTGCCTACCCAGTGCTTAATTTTTGTGTAACATCTACTAGAGTACATATTTTGGCAAGTTTCAGGCTTCCATTGACATTGTATTATGTTAATTATTACAAACGTGCACATACAAGAAAATCATCCTGCCTGTTTTTTTTGGGGGGGGATGGAGGGAAAATTTATAGGCCTAAGGATTTGTAAACCCACTTTATATGTAAAAACAAACACAAATATCTTTTGCAAATGAGTGAGATTGCTTTGGAAAAAAAGCAGAAATTAAAAATTCAGAACCCCTGAATGCTGTATACTGGTACTTGATTTCAAGCTGAAAACACAGTTTTCGTGCAATGAATGTGCCATTGGTCCTTATCAGACTGGATCCATGGGATTTTGTTTCAATTTCAGAAAGGCTATTCAGGGAGGTTACAATAAAAATTACTTATGGCAAGGGTGGACATGAAGGTATTTTCAAAGTAAAATTGTACTACCAGTGCATTCTTATTTACTGTCATACTTCATCTTTTTATGAAAACAAAGACATGTACGCTAATGTGTGCTGGACCAATTTTGTAAGGGACAGACAGGTATGTACATGTACTGCAATGTTCACAACTTCACACACTTCCCTGCACAGCACCAAAGATACAGTACTGTACATGTACATGTACAGTACATGCACACTTGTACATGTACAACACACCCCCGTCTTCCACCAATCAGAAATAGGAATTTGGGGACGACGCCCACTTAGGCAATGCCAGATGAATTCATATGCAAATCAAGTAATTGTTGACCTGCATTGGGTACTGCTTACTGCAGGTACATGTATGGTATGGGACATATGGAGTCGGATTTGTGTTTTCATGGCTCTGTCTTTGCTTTTGCAGACCAGTAAATAAACTGCTGTAGACAGTGGTAACACGGATACCCTTTTAACGGTACCTGTAAAAAGGAAAAATACTCAGAACTTTTAAACATTTATTGAAAACACACTATGCATTACAGATTGATTCCATTCTTTTTCGTTAATGATGATTGATCGTGATGATAATTCGATGACTTCTGGGTGAAATTTTCGTGCTGCATATACAGGCAGATGATCTGCCACAAGAATAGCCGATGTGCAAGGTACTTTGTTGAAACTGATCCGTCTACTTGATTGCAAAAAAACACCAATAACAGTCAAGTTGAGAGTTGGGACCCTTTGGTGGTACATGAGATAATTAAATTTAATATATATGTTATGGCAAAAATGTAATAAAAAGAGATGCATATTAATCATTATCACTGATGAAATGTTATGCTAAGAATTGACATCAGCAAAAATCTGTAGAACACTGTTCACAAGCCGCAGTAATATGGTTTAAAATATGGTTTATGGTTTAAACTAAGAATCAAAGAACACCAGACTTAGAGATATACACAAAAACACATTCAAATATTTAAATGATGCTTCTGTTTTTAAAAAAAGTGAAGTAACTTTATCATTTTTATGATGGCTTAAAAAAATTAGGAGTACAGGTTGAAATCCACTAGTAAATGGTTCAATCACGATTATTTGAAAAAGCTCCAGCCTCAGTAGGTTGGACTGATTTCCTACATGTACAAGGCCATTTGTCCCAATCAGGATATGTTTGTTGGAGGTGCTTTCAACATACACTGTACATGTAAGAGAGAATTTGTTTCTCATCCTTATCCAGGTTTGAAAGATGCTGACGAACACAAATCCTTCACCTTTCTCCGTCAGGAGCTTCCAGTCCGCATCTGCAACATCATGAAGGAGATCAACCTCCTGCCTGAAAAGCTGCTGCAGATGCCTTCCTGCAAAACTGTGCAGGGATGGTGAGTATAAATTTCTTTTCTGACTCCGCAGTTTTTCCAGAGGGGTTTTGTACATACTGTTAGTTACCAAGTTTAACTCAGTTTTGTTTGGCCTACCAAGATATTTTAATTTGATTTTGAGCTTTCTTCCAATTTAGGTATCTTTACAGACTGATACTGTGTAATTTGAAATGGGGAAACTGCATGTAATCTGTATTGGGTAAAATGTGTCAAGTTTATTTTCAGTCATATTAACAAGAGTTTGGAGCAGTTTGGAAATCGGATGGTCAAGTGAACTCGTGTGTCACTTGCATTCATTTTTTTGTGTCTGATTGTGCCATTGCCAGGTACACACAATCACTGCAAGATCTCCTGCAGTTTGTTGATAGTGACGATGACCCAGGAACAATGTATAGGTAAGATTGCAGAGTGTACGTTTATTGTTAACCTCAAATTACAAAGGTTTTATAACCCCAACAGAAACATTGAATATGCTGTCAGTGGCTGTGTGAAAAATGGCCGTTGCTCTTTTCAAATATCATTTGATTTGGCTTTTGCAAGCCCAAAGCCACCCAGGATAAATACTCCCAGGAAAGAACATGTTGAAGCCACAAAAAGGGTGATTACAAATGCTGACAAACATTGTACGAAAGCAGATCTGAGATAAAGATATCAGGTACAGGTAGGATAAAGATTTTAAAAGTTTACCATGATATTCCGGTTTTCCTCCATTATCTTTTCCTTTAAATGGCATTAGTTATGGCTTATAACCATTACTTTTTGTGTGCTAAGCAGCTTGCTTTGTGTGACCAAATTGCATGGTAAACAACAGAATTTGGTCATCCTAAATATACTTTGATGAGTGATTTTTGACTTGAAACTCCCTTGTTGCATTTGGAAGTAGCCTGTGACCTTCACTTGTTAGCTGTCCATTGACACAAAAGTCAGATACTATTTGCCAAAGGAATAAAACTATTGAGGATTAAAAACAATTTTCGTCATATTTTTGTCCGGATTGTGTTTAATTTTTTGAAAGTAACCTTTGACCTTTCAGAATGAGCTGATAAATACCTGTAGATACCTGTAAGTGCCAAAATGTTAATCCAGGTTTGTGAAGTTTGTACAATTTGATCCCAGTAATGTTGAAAAGGGTTTGCAACACCAGTGTTTCCCACCGAAAGTAATAAGTATTTTTAATTAATTGATAGGTTTACAGATAAGCTGATAACAATAAGGAACAGACACGCAAATGTTGTGGAGACAATGGCACAGGTATGTCAATTCTTACATATAGAGAATGTGATGATTATGTGAGATTATGTGAGATTATGAAATTCATGTTGCTTCTTTAAACCCACTTCAGATGAAAGTAAAAAGTATTTCATTCTTCAGTGCATCAGACAAAGACTTTACATTTAATGTAGGATTTTCTCCAGCCCCCCCATGACATTTATTTCCCTGAGTCAGAACTTGGAGATGATCTCAATTAGGCCCACAAATTGATTACATAATGAAGCATCCTATTTATTTCCATGGTAACAGGGAGTGATGGAGATGAGGCAGAGCTATGAGGTCGAGAATTATGAGGAAGGCAACATCCAGTATTTCTTGGATCGGTTCTACCTGTCTCGCATCAGTATACGAATGCTCATCAACCAGCACAGTAAGTTCTCCCTCAGGACCATCTTTTCTTTTCTTAGTTTTTGCTTCTGTGGAAGTTATCCATTATCTCCAGTTACTCTTTTGGGTTACCTTTTAAAATTTCTAGATTTGACCCTCCCTCTGCCCTCGATTCCCAACCCCATCACCCGGATTATGTTTTCATTGGGTCTCTAAGTTTTCTGTTAAGCCAAATATCAGAAAAAAAGTCAGTCACTTCTAAATACATGTACAGTCAACTCTCATTAATATGGGGACCTCTAGACTTAGTGAATTATCTCATATTATCCAGAACTTCATATTAAGAGAAATGTATTTTCCTACTTGTATGCAACGTTTGTCAATCATACTACTGTTCAAGGGTAATGAATGTGTTTTCAAAACAGTTTCAAACATACATGTATTCTTTGTGAAAGTGTAATATACCGGTACATGGAGAATTTAAGCAAAGAGTTGTAATAAAACCTGTTAATTGAGAAGAACGAAGTGGAAAATCAACAAAATGCAAACAATTGGGCAAGCAGACTCATCACCAATCATTGTCGAAGCAAAGTACATGTAACCTGCATGGCATGGTTAGACATCAAGAGAACACACATGTACATGTAAGTACATTTACATTTTAGTTTGTGACCACTAAAGAGATGAACTTTTTATACATGTACCAAATTAAGGGAACTAATGAATTTTTTGGGTGGATAATAGAGGGCATGGGTCAGGGCTGGGCAATGTGTTTTTGCAGGAAATTAAGGTTTCTTTCTTTAACTTCTGGGATGTACATGTAGAACTTGTAAATTTGATTTCCAAAAGGGCATTTGCAAGTAAAACAACAGACTTTAAATACAAACGAATGGGCAGGGGCATTTTTCTACCCTATTTTTCATGTTTTGGTGGGGAGTTTTTGAAGAGTTTGTTCTGGTTGGCGCCCTCTCAGGGTTGGCTGATTTACATGTAAATCACCGTGATTTAATTATCAGTGATTTAAATCAAATGATTCTTTTTTCATTTAAATCAACATGTTTAATTTGGGGGAAAGGGAAAAAATGTTTCAATTTTACTGATTGGATGTTTTTGCAGGTTTTGCACAGTTAAAACAACAAATCCCCTCTGTGAGCCTTTCAGTTCCAAGTATTAAAGAAGTAGGAATGCACATACATGTATGTTTTACACAATCTGTGTTGGCAAGATTTTTTTGTTCAATTCAATCCACTTGATTTGATTCAAATCAGCTTTTTTAATTCAGTAAGTGAATTTGATGCAAAGAATCTATAATCATGATTAATTTTACTCTATTTGATTTGCCCATCTCAGAGTTTGACATGGTAAAGTATATGTTTTCAGTGTACATTTACCTTTTATATACTGGTACACATGTACAGTGTAGCAGTATATTTTTATTGAGATTAGAAATGTTAGTAATGCAATGTAACTAAAACCACTAAATACCCCTTAATACCTTGTAGGTGCCCATAATAAAGTGATTTTTAATCAAGTTTGAGTCATTGCTCTGTGGAGCTGGATCACAAACAAAACAAAACTGCTTTTTGCACATACATGCAGAGCAAGGTAAAATACCAGCATTTTGTACGTTCATGTACGAGTACATATACATGTAAAATAAATATGTACATGTGGTTGATACCATGTTTCTCGATCATTAGTCATTTGATGCATGTATAAGTACGCTGGTAACAAATTCTTGTGAACTGTAGTTTTGTCAAAACTTGGAGTTTGGTTTAAAACCTGGGACGCACTTTATCCTTGGTATGTTTCAACTTGTCTCTGAAGGAAGTGCAGGTTCGTGTACTGGTACTGTAGGTGTTACACTGAATGCATTTCACCAAGGCTAAGACATTGTGGTTTGTGAATTTAATCAAATTACTTGATTTAAATGTCTTAATACAAATACAAAGTTTGTAACAAAACAAATTTCATGCAGCTAATTTGCTTGCTTTTGATTGATGATTGAGCCAACTTGTGTCAAATTTTTATAAAAATAAAAAAAATCTGATTTAAATTTTTAAAACTCTGATTAAACTAAAAAAATCAATCACCCTGGCTGCCGCCCCCGGTGGCCTTGGAATCACAAATGCCCACTGTCCGTCATGTTGCATGCGAGCACCTACAAAGAAAAACCTTTTGATCACTCGGGAATCTAAAATTACCCAAAACCGCAGTCATGGAGTAGCAAGCATTATCATCGCATTTAGTACAATGGCACCTTTCTTGAATGGGTTCTGTGATTGGAGAGATAACACTTTATACACCTGCACTTGACCGGACCAGAAAAACACTTGTCTTAACCGAAATCTCACATTATTACCCAAGCGTGTATTAAAGATTTTTTTCTCATAGGAATGTACACACTTTGGTTAGGACTGGAGAAATATTCTCGTCTTGACCCCTTCATGCCGGGACGTGTTAAAACACGCTGTAAAAATTGAGATCCTCAGCCCGCTTTTCAGCTATTATTCTCAGCCCACGCTCGAGTAAACACGGTGAAAGAAGGCAGACCCTAGCTCTTGTGCATATGGTAATTGTCTTTGTGTGTAGCCCAGAAATGAAAAGACCGAATTTGCATCATAATCACAATAGTCCCCACTTTGAAAAGAGGCAACGGGAATGTGGAAGCTTGAGTAGAGCCACATGCCACCAAACAATCAGCCTTTTCACCGTGTAATTCAAAGCGTGCAGAGCACGCTGGGCCACAAACCGAGAATATGCGGTTTGGCAGGTGGCCTTCGTGGCCAAGCGAGGCTGGAATTCGTGGAGTTGGCTTTTGGAAAGAAATTCCCGCTGAGAAGGGGTTAACTGGAAGCTCGTCTAATCCGAGTTCATATTAATGAGAGTCAACTGTATGTCAAAATTTGAATGGTTGTTGTCCTGTAGCCCCCTTCTCAGTGCAACCATGCCTTGGTTCTAGAACCTTGCTTTGATTTTTTAAGAACCAAGTCAGCTCTTAGACCACTGTATGTGTGTGGTCACTGTATCCCTGTTTTGTGAGTGTTTTGTTTTCATGAACATTTCCTGTGATAAAGTTTTAGCCAACATACATGTGCATGGCAGGGGTGATACATAGCCAAAGATCAGCTGATCAAATGTGTTTTGTGCTGTTTTAAATACAGTAGTGCTGATCAAGCATTCCTTATACATGTACAAGTAGGTAGATGTAACCTGCCAAAGAGTGGCATGACTCCACTTGGCTCATTGGCAAATCTGTGATAAGCAGCCATGTAAACATACTTTATGAGTCCGTCATGTTTGCAATTACATTAGCCAAATGGCTGCAGGAATGTCCCTGAACTGACAGACATAGACTGGGGTACGTGTTTCCTTGGGGCATCCAAAATGAGGCCATGTTTTTGACCAGCATGGAAAATTCATGATGTTACTAGAACACAACCATTTTCCTTTCAAAAACACATTTGGAACATATCAAGAAAATTTATATAACTGATGCATTCCTGTGCATGGAAAAATTGTAAAAGTTAAACTACATACTGTACATGTACATGTATATGACTGCCCCAGTGTGCCCCAGTGGGGTCAGATGTCTGTAGCTTGTGTGGATGCAGAAGTTTGTGTGATATATTGAATTGTCTGGGAATTGTAATAACTCTTTAAGTGTTGTGCCCTCCTTACAGTATCCTTGACCTGCTCATAACACAGTCGATTTTCTTCCTTTTATAGTGACCCCTCCCAGTGGGAAATTAGATGGTTCATACAAAGGCTAACTTACATGTAGCCAAGCTGTCCCCAGGTGTGTGTGAATTAACATTGTCTGGATTGCCTAAAATTTGGATTGCCTAAAATTCACCCCACCCCCCTCAGGATTTTCAAGAGCATCAGGTTCAGAAGCAGAACATGTATTTTTATCATTTCATTGTTTGAACAGAATGCTACACTGTACATGTACATGTATAAACATCCAAAAATAATTCAGGCCTAAAATCTTCAACATCTGGAAGATAAAAGGACATGTGCACACGTGTATTATGCATCATCATGAGGGTAATC